AAGAAATAAGTTTTATTCAAGGAAATAAAGCTGATCAAGAAATGCTTGACTGGCTGCTCTCTGTAGATATTGACCAGAAACTGGCAACATTTTCACAAACTTGTGATGAGTACGACAGAAATCCTATCTCTTTATTGGATGATATATTACTTTATGCTGGGTCACATGACCATGAAGATGAGGATGACAACACTGTTATTGACTGTTACTAGTTAATTATTAATTGATTTAAAAGCCTTGTTTTTATTGATTATTTTTTAAATCTCTTTACTTTTATGATTTTTTATTGTCACTGCTTCAGTACACAGTGGAAAATTTCTGTCATGTCAGTTTTAAATAATGTTGGAAGTGAAAATTTTTATTTTAGGTCATCAAATTTTAGTTAAAAGGTGTGCTTGAAATTATTGAATTAAACAGATCTTAAAAAGTCATGAAACCCCAAAGAACTTATCTTTCAAGTAGGTTTTACATATTCCTTAGATTTTTTCTTCATAATTACCAAAATTAAATAAGGCATTTAATTTCTGAATGTTTTTATTTAATTGAAATCAAACCAAAACAATATTTAGATGGAACAAGATCTCCATACATTGTACTTGAGGTATTGTATTCCACTTACAAGATGGACGAAATTGTTCTCTTATCTTTCACAAGATTCTGTTTTTAGATGATGAATTGATGACATGCTGATAGTTTGAATTAAAGCTAAATATTATTATTACTGATAAATGCTAGTTTGATATTTTTAATGTGTCTTGTTGATGTTCTAGAGTTATGTTCCTTGAAACTTCAGTACATTTATCTCTTATACAGGCTATAAATCAACTTAATGATTCATAGATACCCTGTGTTAATAGGGTGAATGCTCTTGAAATGAGACAAAGTGGCTTATATGGCTCATTTCAGCAAACCTACCACCGAAGGACAGGTATTGGATTTTGTAAATTAGAAATGCATTGAATCTGAACTTGATGAACTGTAGGTTTGATTGATTGATTGATTGTTGTTTGCTTCAGTGTTTGCTACAGTGGAAAATATTTCATGCATATTCAAGACGAGAAGAATTACAAATAAATTTTAAGATAGGCTCTGCAAAGTGGGTCAACTGGAAAGTTAGATTAACAGAGGCAGTAATTTTGCCTTGTTACAGGCAAGAGTTGTTAATTTGTAAATGTTTTTCAACGTGTAGAAAGTATAGGGCATGGAATTTTCTGTACATACATCCTCATTCGGACTGGAAATGGTTGCATATCTATACAGCATGGATGCCTAAAGGGATGCCCTTTGTAGAAGAGTTGGACCCCTCAGGTGGCAATTTTGTCCAATATCTTTTCCAAAGTGTACTCTGAGGGTTTAACAAAATGAGATGTGTACATTGACAGATACCCACCAATGATACAAAGAAAGCCATCCAGAGAACAACATACAGTCTCTGAAACAAGAAAGTGCCTTTATAGTATGGTTAGTCTCTGAAACAAGAAAGTGCCTTTATAGTATGGTTAGTCTCTGAAACAAGAAAGTGCCTTTATAGTATGGTTAGTCTCTGAAACAAGAAAGTGCCTTTATAGTATGGTTAATCTCTAAATCTCCATATGTCCCAAAAAGTTGTGAATAGATTTAACAGACTCTCAAAGATCTGTCATCAGCACAGAATTATACAAATAATGAAAAAAACATTAAGATAAAGACTCATAATAGAGGTTCAAATTATTTTTTTAAAAGTCACAGATTTTCTCCCTTTACTCTAGCTGTTTACCTGTAAAATAACATGTAAATTTATATGTCACATGTTTGTTTTTTTATCAGTATTGCTGAACAATACAGTGATGCTTTAACTAGGTACCCCTTGTTAGGAATTGTTGCTGAAAGAGGTCTTCAAATTAGATGGTGGCTTTATTTGATTTTTTATTTCAGTAGGTTGCAAATCAGATATAAGATTGTTGATACATAAATACTGATTGTACTGTTATCAAATATGGATCCAGAGGCTTAAATATGAGCTGATTATGACCATTCTTCTATTGCTACAATAAGACAAGGAACACTGTACAGTGGTAATAAGTTTTTATATGATCGCAAAATTTTTACATTCGTATTATGTAATCACATTGTCAGTGTTATCGTTGTCATCGTCATCTAAAGACATTTGGTTTCAAGACAATAACTTGAGTATAAGTGTATGAATCTCTATGAAATTGTACCACAAGGTTCCATACCACAACAGAAAGGTTGGGATTGATTTTTGGGGTTGTTGTCCCAACTGTTTAGGAATTATGGACCAAAAAGGGGCCAAAATTAAGCATGTTTCTTGTTTCAGGACAATAACTTGTGTATAAGTGTATGGATCTCTATAAAATTGTACCACAAGGTTTCATACCTCAAAAGGAAGGGAGGGATTTATTTTGGGGGTTATGGACGAAACTGCTTAGGAATTAAGGGCCAAAAAAACTAGGATTTTCATGTTTCCAGACAATAACTTGCGTATAAGTCTTTGGATCTCTATGAAATTGTACCACAAGGTTCCTTACCAAAAAAGGGGCCAAAACAATACTTTTTTCATACATTGCATAAATTGCCTATTTCTTGAACAATTTCAATGGGGTTTAATTCAAAGTCTTGAATTCTTGGGTTTTTTTAATATGCTAAATCTATCCATGTATTTGGATTTTGGACCCTATTTTTAAATTGGTCCACATTTAGGTTCAAAGGGTCCAAATTTAAACTTTGTTTGATTTCATCAAAAATTAAATCCTTGGGGTTGTTTGATATGCTGAATCTAATTGTGCAATTTGGATTTTTTTTTATTTAGGCCTGATTTCCTAATTGGTCCACATTAAGGTCCAAAGGATCCAAATTAAACTTAGTTTGATTTTAACAAAAATTGAATTCAAGGGGTTTTTTTATATGCTGAATCTTAACATGTATTTAGATTTTTGATTTTGGGCCCAATTTTCAAGTTTGTCCAAAATTGAACTTTGGTTGATTTCAACAAAAAATTAATTTATGGGAGTTTTTGATATGCTGAATCTAACTGTGTATTTAGATTTTGGAATTTTGGCCCCATTATCATATTGAGGTCTGTAAGGGTCCAAAATTAAACTTTGAATTCTTGAGGTTCTAGATATGCTGAATCTAACCATGTATTTAGATTTTGGATATTGGACCATAATAGGTATAAGTCCAATTTCAAATTTTGAAGTTCTTAGACAACATTCATTCTGTGTCAGAAACCTATGCTATGTCAAATCTTTAGTCACAATCCAAATTCAGAGCTGTATTGCATAATTAATAGAAATTGTTAGTAGATTCATGGTTTAAAATATTCTAATTTTAGAATTTTTGATGGGGTTCGTGTTGCTCAGTCTTTAGTTTTCTATGTTGTGTTTTGTGTACTACTGTTTGTCTGTTTGTCTTTTTCTTTTTTAGCCATGGCGTTGTCAGTTTATTTTCGACTTATGAGTTTGAATGTCCCTTTGGTATCTTTCACCCCTCTTTTAGAAATTGTGTATAGATATAGTTTGAAATTTACTGATCATTATATGACCGCAAAAAAATTTTGCGGTCTTATATTGGTATGACGTTGGTGTCGTCGTCGTCGTCCGAAGACACATTGGTTTTCGCACAATAACTTTAGTTTAAGTGAATGGATCTCTATGAAATTTTACGATAAGGTTCAATACCACAAAAGGAAGGTTGGGATTGATTTTGGGGGTTATGGTACCAACAGTTAAGGAATTAGGGGCCAAAAATAAGCATTTTTGTAACTTCCAGACAATAACTTGTGTGTTAGTGTATGGATCTTTCTGACATTGTACCATAAGGTTCCATATCACAAAGGGAATGCTGGGATTGATTTTGGGGGTAATTGCCCAAAACGTTTAGCAAAAAGGGGCCAAAAATAAGCATTTTTCTAGTTTTCAGACAATAACTTGTTTTAAGTGTATGGATCTCTCTGAAATTGTACTGCAAGGTACCATATTACAAAGGGAATGCTGGGATTGATTTTGGGGGTAACTGCCTCAAAATTTTAGGAATTAGGGACCAAAAAGGGTAAAAAAACAAGCATTTTTCTAGTTTCAGGACAATAACTTGTGTGTAAGTGTATGGATCTTTATGACATTGTACTACAAGGTTCCATATCACAAAGAGAAAGCTGGGTTTGAGTTTGGAGGTAATTGCCCTAAACGTTTAGGAATTTGGGGCCAAAAAGGGCCCAAAACACAAGCATTTTTCTAGTTTCCAGACAAAAACTTGTGTTCAAGTGTATGGATCTCTCTGAAATTCATTAAAAATTGAATATATGGGGTTCTTTGATATGCTGAATCTAACCATGTATTTAGATTTTTGATTTTTGGGCCCGTTTTCAAATTGGTCCACATTGAGGTCAAAAGGGTCCAAAATTAAACTTTGTTTGATTTCATCAAAAATTGAATTCTTTGGATTCTTTGATATGCTGAATCTAACCATGTATTTAGATTTTGGATATTGGACCATAATAGGTAAATTAAAAATTTTTAAGTTCTTAGACCACATTCATTCCGTGTCAGAAACTTATGCTGTGTCAAATATTTAATTACAATCCAAATTCAGAGCTGTATCAAGCTTGAATGTTGTGTCCATACTTGCCCCAACTGTTCAGGGTTAGACCTCTGCGGTCGTATCAAGCTGGGCCCAGCGGAGCATTTTATTGTTAGATATTTTGATAAATAATTAGAGGTAAGTTTTATAAATTTTTTAACAACATTGTATTAATAATGAATGATATTTTCTTTGGAAGAAATTTTTTTTTTTTTTTTTGAATTTTTTTTTTAATAACTTCGTGGTAGGTTTGTTTGTTATTCTGTATAAATTAATTTTCAGAACGCTATATATATATATTTTTTTTTATGAAGCGAACACCTTTAAAAACTTAGCTTATATTGTTTATTAATAAGTAAGTTAATTAAATTCTTGATGTACTTTTCGTTGCCTCTTTGACACATTCCCCATTTCCATTCTCTATTTTTATACGACCGCAAAAATTAAAAAAATTTTTGTCGTATATTGGTATGACGTTGGCGTCGTCATCGTCGTCGTCGTCGTCGTCTGGCGTCGTCCGGCGTCGTCCGAAGACACATTGGTTTTCGCACTCTAACTTTAGTTTAAGTGAATGGATCTCCATGAAATTTTACCATAAGGTTCAATACCATGAACGGAAGGCTGGGATTGATTTTGGGGGTTATGGTACCAACAGTTAAGGAATTAGGGGCCAAAAAGGGGCCAAAAATAAGCATTTTGTAACTTTCAGACAATAACTTGTGTGTAAGTGTATGGATCTCTCTGACATTGTACCACAAGGTTCCATATCACAAAGGGAAGGCTGTAATTGATTTTGGGGGTAATTGCCTCAAAATTTTAGGAATAAGGGGCCAAAAAAGGGGCAAAAAACAAGCATTTTTCTAGTTTCATGACAATAACTTGTGTGTAAGTGTTTGGATATTTCTGAAATTGTACTACAAGGTTTCATATCACAAAGGGAAAGGTGGAATTGAGTTCGGGGGTAATTGCCTGAAATGTTTAGGAATTGGGGGCCAAAAAGGGACCAAAAATAAGCATTTTTCTAGTTTCAAGACAATAACTTGTGTTCAAGTGTATGGATCTCTCTGAAATTGTACTGCAAGGTACCATACCACAAAGGGAAGGCTGGGATTGAGTTTGGGGGTGATGAATCATAAGGGGGTTCAAAAAATTTGGGGGGGGGGATTTTTTTTTCTTTTTTTCCTTTTTTTTTTTCTTTTAAAATTTTCCATTTTAAGTTGGTTATTTCTGATTTATATTTAAAAGCAAATAATAATGATATTGTAGCAGATACACACCAAACAGGATGTGTAAATTTTTATATAATAAGTATTGTGCAATAGCAAGAAATTTTCAATTGCACAGTATTGCACAATAGCAAGAAATCTTCAATTGCACAGTATTGCGCAATAGCAAGAAATCTTCAATTGCACAGTATTGTGCAATAGCAAGAAATATCCAATAGCACAATATTGCGCAATAGCAAGAAATTGTCAATTGTACAGTATTGCGCAATAGCAAGAAATATTCAATTGCACAGTATTGTGCAAAAGAAGATACTTCTTATAAATTGCTTATTTCTTGATCAATTTCAATGGGGTTTTATTCTTGAATTCTTTGGGTTCTTTAATATGCTGAATATAACCGTGTATTAAGTTTTTGGATTTTGGGCCCCGTTTTTAAATTGGTCCACATTGAGGTCCAAAGGGTCCAAAATTTAACTTTGTTTGATTTCATCAAAAATTGAATTATTGGGGTTCTTTGATATGCCGAATCTAACCGTGTATTTAGATTCTTAATTTTTGGTTCCGTTTTCAAATTGGTCTACATTAAGTTCCAAAGGGTCCAAAATTAAACTTAGTTTGATTTTAACAAAAATTGAATTCTTGGGGTTCTTTGATATGCTGAATCTAAACATGTATTTAGATTTTTGATTATGGGCCCAGTTTTCAAGTTGGTCCAAATCGGGGTCCAAAATTAAACTTTGTTTGATTTCAACAAAAATTGAATATATGGGGTTCTTTGATATGCTGAATCTAACCATGTATTTAGATTTTTGGGCCCCGTTATCAACTTTGTCCACATTGAGGTCAAAAGGGTCCAAAATTAAACTTTGTTTGATTTCATCAAAAATTGAATTCTTGGGGTTCTTTGATATGCTGAATCTAACCATGTATTTAGATTTTGGATATTGGACCATAATATGTGAATGTCCAATTTAAAATTTTTAAGTTCTTAGACCACATTCATTCTGTGTCAGAAACCTATGCTGTGTCAAATATTTAATCACAATCCAAATTCAGAGCTGTATCAAGCTTGAATGTTGTGTCCATACTTGCCCCAACTGTTCAGGGTTCAACCTCTGCGGTCGTATCAAGCTGCGCCCTGCGGAGCATTTTATTAATATTGGATATGCTGAATCTAATAGTGTATTTAGAATTTGGATAATGGACCATAATAGGTAATATCCAATTTCAAATTTTCAGTTCTTTGACCACATTCATTCTGTGGCAGAAACCTATGCTGTGTCAAATATTTAATTACAATCCAAATTCAGAGCTGTATCAAGCTTGAATGTAGGGTCCATACTTGCCCCAACTGTTCCGGGTTTGACCTCTGCAGACGTATCTAGCTGCACCCAGCGGAGTACTTTATTTAGAATTGTTGTAACAGAACTGAAAGTAATTTTCCCAAAACTATGGCGACAATTTGGGAAATAACTAGAGGACATTTTTAGATTTTTCCTAGAGTAACATGTATTTTTTATGCATTTTATTTTAAAGACAACTCATATATAAAGATATTTAAAATATTATTCTACCAGAACCTTTAACCTAAATAAAATTCTGCAAATTTACACAATTTTTTTGGCATATAATACAAAATTCATCAATATTTTGAAAAGAAACAATATTTCTGACATGTAATTATAATTTTTGCATAAAGTAAGTTAATCAGACTAACTGCTTCAACATTCAGGTGAGGATTCAGGATTTTGAAAAGTGGGGCGGGGCTGGCAAGTGTTTGAAGTGATACTTGTATAAATTGCACCACTTAATAGAGAATAATTGGCAAAAAATAATAAATGGAGATAAATGGCCTAAAAAATTAAAGAACACAGAAATGAAGATCCCCCTCCAGACCCTCATACATTGATATTGATAGTACAAAATTTAACATTTATAAATTTATTTTTTATCAATACTATCAGAAGTCCATATTAGTAGTAATGGACTTCTGATACTGTCTCTATTGTTATTATTATATATATATTTATTCAAGATAAAAAGGCATGAATTTGACATACAAAATATTACAAAGACACAGATATAGCACTAGACATAGTTTATAGACACTAAAATGATATACATGTTTACTAAAAATTTTAATTTAAAAAAAAATAAAATTATGAAAATTTTCATGATGTTTTGATAATATGAATAGACTAGATTTAATAATGAGTGAAATTTAAATTGACTAGATTTTCACTGTAGCCTAATATCTTAGGATGACCCACAAAAGTTATTAAAACTTATTTCCAGTGGGGTGGCCTTTTATAACGAGACTTCCAGTTTACACCAAGGGTTGACACATAGAAAATACAAGCACAAATCATTTAGAATTTATCACAGATATATGGTCAAAGCCCCAGTATAATTAATAAAACACAAATTCACTATTAAAGATGGATTTAAATTTATCCATCAAAAACTTTTTCACTTGTACTTTAAAATTATATTTTTTAGAGCAACTTTTAATCCTGTCTGGTAACGAATTCCAGTCTTTTATTCCATTATAAAAGAAAGTGGTGGATTCACACCCTTTAATTCCTGGTATATAAAAGTTTTTACTACTAGATCTTATAATGATGATTAATACCTTTGAGCATCGATGGAAGTAATATTGAGTTCAATACTTTGAGATAACCCCCTAATCTGTAAATATTTGTAAGCTAACCATGTGATCTAAGTTTTGTTTACTTGGTCAAAATGGTTGCAGCTCTACTGTTAGTTGGAGTAGCCACAATTGTTTTTGCAGTCATATGGTATATGCAATATGGAAAATTGAGGAAAGAATTGAATAAGTTCCCTGGACCTGCTGCTGTCCCTGTCTTTGGAAATGCCTTAATGTTGAAGACAGATAGAAAAGGTACAGTAAAGGTTAAAATCTAGGACAAGGTGAAAGTTCGTTGTGTGGATCTAATAATGATGTATTTCCCATTTTTCTAACTTTTGGGAAATTGAATATGAAGAGTAACTCCTTGTTTGATTGTTTTTTTTAATAGACAATGCAAGCAACTTAGATAAATAAAGCATCCCCTTTTCTGGAGATTGCACTCTTCATTACAAACAATTTTGTTTTAGAAATTTATGGTCAGATCATATGTTTTGTACGTCATATAAATTCGTACTATGCATGCTTTTTCAATGGAAATTGTGACGTCACAATGCGTTCTTAATAGCACGAAAACCCATAAGATGAGGATATCCTATATTTCTATTTGAGACCATGATTTTTTTAGCTGATTCTGAACTGCTGGATTTTCTAATATTGATCATAGATTGAGTTCAAACTGAATGCTAGTCGTATTGTAATCTGTAATCTGGTCGTTTCATACATGTTGTATTTATTTCTATGGTTATAAAGTGTGTCTTATTTATATGGTTATAAAGTGTGTCTTATTTATATGGTTATAAAGTGTGTCTTATTTATATGGTTATAAAGTGTGTCTTAAGTTGTGGCTTAATTAAACAGTTAAAGACAATATATATAAATTAATTCACAAGTTTTAATTGTCTCTGGAAATGTATAACTATTTAGAAATGTCTATTTATTGAAGGTAAAAAGAATTTCTTGTAATTTGGTTTTATATTATTTAAATTTTATTAGAGTAGCTTGGGAAATCATACATGGAAAAGTTTGAATTTATCCCTACCCTCTGAAGTTGAAATATTTGTGTAAAGTGTTAAAACAACATTTTTAAAGGCAGTGCTTTAATGCCTTTCTAGTTGCCGGGTTAATCCTTCCTTCCGCGATATCCAACTTATCTACGTGGGGGGTCATTAGACTCCAAGTAGATCCGGAAATGTTGAATTCTCTCCTCTTCTTATTGCGATATAAAATGTGTTTTGTTTCATTTCATTTACATTGGGAAATAGAGAAACGATCATTGTGTTTTGTTAGTTTTAAAAACTTTTGATATATTAGTATTTTGCATTATAAGCAGTCAACCGATTGACAAACTAGAATTATTTGAATTCCGTGTGGAAAGAGCTCGGGTTAATTTCGAGTGTTATCTGCAATCTAGATGTTTATAAATCATTTCAGTCGTTGATATAATAATTAAAGGTCGACTGAACATGAATTATATTATACAATTTAAAGCGCATTTCTGTTTATGCACGTGAACCCGTCTAACGTTATTTTCGCAGTTATATAAAGTAGCAAATTATCGTTCCTGAATAGGTGGCGCCGTGGTAGCGGATCCTGTTCCTCTTCTTCCGGTTTCTACACTGTGCAACTATTTCAGTTATATTTTTAATTAACGATGCCAAGTACTTGTTGTTGTGTACCTGGATGTCATTTAAGAGGAGGACATGCATTTCCAAATGACTTAAAAAGAAGGAAAAGTTGGATCAACGCCATGGCCCATACGCAGATTGGACGAGAACACGATGATATCGTGGAGTCCATCTCAATCAGCTGTTGTTTGCAAGGCACGTTTTACTGAAAAAGACTACGTGCAGGAAACTATTCATGGTAAAACTCTATTTTCTTTGTGAAATATATAGTTATATATGTAATCTCCATGCGAATAAACCAAAGTCTGTTTACAACCGCAATTATCGTTTTAGAGTAAAAGGGGGTGGGTAATTCAAGACGTCATAATTTTTTGGATTACGATTCAATGTGATCTGTTTGAGATTTTTTGGTGATTGCTACAATTATAATGATTTCTTACAAGAGGTATATCATACTGAGAATTATTTTAGCAGTAATTATGCTAATGTAGTAATGACAGAAATGCATAAGCTATGCCTCATAGACTTTCTTGAAAAATATCAATGACAATGTTAACAGGAACAAAACAATGACATGCTCTCATCTATATTATAGTTATTTAGGTACAAACAATGTACGTTTGTTGCATAAGTCTCTCATTGTTTGTCCTTTGGATTTACATAACATACATTGAATCAGGCAAACATAGTTTTATCCAGATTGTAATGAATAAATCTAGTTAATATTTCGCCAGGTAGTACAAAGTATACATTGCTAATGGAAGTTCATATATTATAAAAAAACTAATGTTTTATAACCTTTTTCAGGGCGCAAACCCACCATACAGAGACTTAAGTCTACTGCAATTCCCAGCCTATTTTCCTGGACCAAGCAAGAGACTGAATCGTCCGCAAAAAGAAAAATCAGGGCAGTTTCCTGTGAAAACAAAAGAACTAAACTTGATGAATATTGTAGTAGAAATCTAGAGGAAAGTTTTGATTTTAAAGTTGGTTTTCCTGAAGAAGTCATTCATACTGCAGAAAGGATTTATGACTGTCCACCACCAACTGCCGAGCTAATGTTGAGCTTCACAGATGGAATTACGCAAACACCATCAATGCCTATGTTTTCCGCAGAGAATTTTGAAATGAAGACACTTGACACAGCCATGCATTTTTATACCGGTTTAGAGTTGTATACTAAATTTTTATTGGTTTTGACCACACTTGGTCCAGCAGCACATTGTTTGAGATACATATATTTTCAAATTGATAGGGTGTCAGTTGAAAATCAGTTTTTTTATGACTTTGATGAAATTGAGGCATCATACAACCAACTTTGAACTGTCTAGATTCTAGATTGAATCTAGTGTTAAGAATATTGTGTATACATGGATTGTTTTTATGTCTAAACAGTGGTGTGAGGCTAACACTTGGCCATCTAGTGGTTTAGTCAGGTATTTTTCACCATCCAACTTCAAATTAAAGTTTCCTACGACTTGGATTATTATTGACAGCACAGAATATCCCGTGATAAAACCTAAAGCTCCTAGAGCTCAGGCAACCTTTTCATCAAATAAAAACAGAAACACTGAAAATTCTTGAATGTTGGACACCTGGTGGTTTAGTCAACTATGTCTCTATGTCACATAGAGCGAATAATTGGACTTGGCAAAACATACAAAATTCTAATAAATCCTATGAATGGAACTGAAACAAAACTTTCATCTGAAATAACATTTAGTTGTTTTATGTTGTGTAATTTTAGAACTTGTATTGTGCCAAAGGATGCATAAATAAAAGTGACGCAATGAATTTTGTTCTGATATATATATATTTACAATTACATGCACATGTAAATTGTAATGCATATAAAAATAAGGAGATGTGGTATGATATTCAGTGAGTTTATCAAACTAAAGTGCATAAGAAATGGGTTTAAGCAGTTACAGGTGTTACTGTCACTGTACAATCTCCAACAATGAGAAAAACTCGTACCCTGTAAAAAATTTCAGAGATCTTACAACTAAGTTTTGTTGTCTCACCTTGACTTTGGTGAATTTTTTATATCTGTTGATGTAAATATAAAAAAGAAGATGTGGTATGATTGCCAATGAGACAACTCTCCACACATGCACAAGAGACCAAATGACACAGAAATTAACAGCTATAGGTCACAGTACGGCCTTCAACAATGAGCAAAGCCCATACTGCACAGTCAGCTATAAAAGGCCCAGAAATGACAATGTAAAACAATTCAAACAAGAAAACTAACGGCCTATTTTATGTAAAAAAATGAACAAATATAACAAATATGCAACACATAAACAAACGACAACCACTGAATTACACTTTTATAGGCTCCTGACTTGGGACAGGCACATACATGTACATACAGAATGTGGCGGGCTTAAACATGTTAGCGGGATCCCAACCCTCCCCCTAACCTGGGACAGTGGTGTAACAGTACAATATAAGAAAGAACTATAAAAATCAGTTGAAAGAGGCTAAACTCATCAGATGGATAAATACAAATACAAGTGGACGTGGTCGGGTAGTTGTACATTCAAACAACAAAAAGACACTAAGTACAAATCTGAGAGTACTCGCAGTTACTAACAGCTAGTTCAAAGCCACTAACAACTGATAAAAAAATCTTGCATCTAAGACTAAATTATCAATCCGTAAGCTCCCTTTAGAATTTTATAAATTTTAGATTTTACATTTCTGAGTTATGGGGTTTTATTCATTAAAAAAGGGGGGATTTTCCAGTTTTTGGACAACAACTCAAAAATGCTTTAAGCAGTTCACATGAAACTTTGGTGAATTATTTATAGCTATTGATGTAATCTCCCTATTGATTTTTCATAAATTTCAAATATGACATTGAGAAGAAATTGAACTTTATTTGTTTATAGTCTGGCAACAGATTTATTAAGTATTGCACAACAGCACAGTGTATTGCACAACAGCAAGAAATCTTTAATTGAATATAAATTCAATTCATATAACCGATTTCAAGTTTATTGACTACATTTATTCAGAAACTATAATATGTCAAATATTTAATTACAATCCAAATTCAGACCTGTATCGAGCTTGAATATTGTGTCCATTTTTGCCCCAGCTGTTCAGGGTAGTACCTCTGCGGGTGTATCCAGCTGCGCTCAGCGAATCAGTTTATTTCTTAATTAAGAACTCCTTTTTATACGACCGCAAAAAAATTTTTGTGGTCGTATATTGGTATGACGTTGGCGTCATCGTCGTCCGGCGTCGTCGTCCAAAGACACATTAGTTTTCGCACTCTAACTTTAGTTTAAGTGAATGGATCTCAATGAAATTTTAAAATAAGGTTCAATACCACAAAAGGAAAGTGGGGATTGATTTTGGGGGTTATGGTACCAACAGTTAAGGAATTAGGGGCCAAAAATAAGCATTTTTGTAACTTCCAGACATAACTTGTGTGTAAGTGTATGGATCTCTCTGACATTGTACCACAAGGTTCCATATCACAAAGGGAATGCTGGGATTGATATTTGGGGGTAATTGCCTACCCGGACCTAATAGGGTAGAAAAAGTTGACCAATCTTAATGAAACTTGGTATGACCAAAGCTTAATAAATTATAAGACTGCTTACAAAGTTTCATGGCAATAGGATTTATATTATAAACAATATGACTAATTCTATATTCAACTTTGCGTGTTAAATTTAGACGTTAAAATTGAAAATTTTCAACTATCAACATTTGGGGCTTAAAAAATTAAAATATTGCAAAAAAATACTTTTGAAATGCCTTAATATATAATATATTATGTATTGAAAGCAATAGAGTACTCATTTGATTTATCAGACTTATCATAATTATTAAAAAGTCAAATTTATATGAGCCTGTGGCTAAAAATGGAGGTTTTCCAATGAAGGGGGGCCTTACATGAAGATGTGATATTTTCCAGCAATTTTAAATTTGTAAAGCTTTTTGGTTATAAATAATCCTTACATATGTATTTAATGTACTTTAAATGGAAAGAAAACTTACAAATAACATATCACATTAGTTTAAAAGGGTCTTAGGCCAAGTAAGACTGAAAATAATTTAGGGTCAATTTAAGCCGTATCACATATTTACATTTAAAAATGCATATTGAAGCTATAGGAAATAAAATTTTGTGTCTTTTCTATCATTTCTATACTCAGGTGACATGATACAATAAATCTGAGCACAAAAAGACTCTTGCATTCAACTTTTTTTGCAGACAGTATGGTCTGATACAAAGATTTTTCACTTTTTAGTGAAAAACATGCATGCAATTTTAGTCTCAACAGGCTTATATTTGAACCACTTGCTATCCTACAGAAGAAAAGAAAGATATTATGTGACATAAAACAGGTACAAAAGACATTGTTAAGTGCTTTTTATACAAATTTAGTGAGGTCTTTATAATGGACTTCAACTTTTATGTTCCAAGCTCCTCACATTTAACTTGATCCAAACAGGGCGTTAGACGAGGATCATATATACATTTTGCACATATTGTCCGAGATAATCTTCTTTTCTGTAGATTCAGAGTTCACAAATGAGTAATACAACTGGATTGAAGCATAGAAACACAAATATTGACACATAAAAACCTGTCAGATAGAAAGTCAGAATGCCACTTATGCATCAAAATTGAAAAAGCTATGAAATGCTTATTTTGACCATAAAATGCCAAAATTGGTCATTTTTGCAGAAATTCTATCAAATAAAAGTTTAAATCCTTTAGTTTTATGCTATTTGATAAATTGACACCATCAAATCATTCAGGGAAGTTGCCAAAGTACAGATTCTATATTTCCTGATTTCACCTCTTAGGTCCGAGTACACAGTTATTTCGTAGTGCATTTCTTTTAGACAATAAATGAAAATTAAAAAAATCCCACCTGCGCTTTCTCAATAATATTTTTACAGTGTGTTGTACTACTTTTGGGACAAATTATATCAAAATTATAGAAAACTTCATCGGCTCTAACTCAAAATATGGACAATTTCATGTTAAGGGGGTCTTCAAATCTTTTGACAGCTTCCGAAGTGCTAATTTTTAACATTTTTCAGCTGGACCAAATCACTACTTTACTTTAAAATTCATGACCCAAATTTTTTTACAGTGTCATTTCACCCCCCTACTTACTATTTGAGTCATAAAACATGGAGAAATAAATTTGGAAGGGGTATAAAAAAAATCGACAAGTAACACACTGTCCACACTAGGGACTATATTCGTGGACAACGAAAATCAAAGGACGATAACTGTGTACCCGGACCATATAACAAAGGGAATGCTGGGATTGAATTTGGGGGTAATTGCCTCCAAATTTTAGGAATTAGGGGCCAAAAAGGGGCAAAAAAACAAGCATTTTTCTAGTTTCATGGCAATAACTTGTGTGTAAGTGTATGGATCTTTATGAAATTGTACTACAAGGTTCCATATCACAAAGGGAAAGCTGGAATTGAGTTTGGGGGTAATTGCCCAAAAAGTTTAGGAACAAGGGGCCAAAAATAAGCATTTTCCTAGTTTCCAGACAATAACTTGTGTTCAAGTGTATGGATCTCTCTGAAATTGTACTGCAAGGTACCATACCACAAAGGGAATGCTGGGATTGATTTTGGGGGTAATTGCCTCCAAATTTTAGGAATTAGGGGCCAAAAAAGGGCAAAAAACAAGCATTTTTCTAGTTTCATGACAATAACTTGTGTGTAAGTCTATGGATCTCTCTAACATTGTATCACATGGTTCCATATCACAAAGGGAATGCTGGGATTGATTTTTGGGGTAATTGCCTCCAAATTTTAGGAATTAGGGGCCAAAAAGGGGCAAAAAACAAGCATTTTTCTAGTTTCATGGCAATAACTTGTGTGTAAGTGTATGGATCTTTATGAAATTGTACTACAAGGTTCCATATCACAAAGGGAAAGCTGGGTTTGAGTTTGGGGGTAATTGCCCTAAACGTTTAGGAATTTGGGATCAAAAAGGGGCCAAAAAACAAGCATTTTTCTAGTTTCCAGACAATACATGTAACATGTGTTCAAGTGTATGGATCTCTCTGAAATTGTACTGCAAGGTACCATACCACAAAGGGAAGGCTGGGATTGAGTTTTGGGGTGATGAATCATAAGGGGGTTCAAAAAATTAGGGGGGGATTCTTTTTCCTTTTTTTTCTTTAAAATTTTCCATTTTAAATTGGTTATTTCTGATTTATATATAAAAGCAAATAATAATGATATGGTTTGAATAGGTAAATTAAATTTTTTTAAGTATCTTAGACCACTTTCATTCTGTGTCAGAAACCTATGCTGTGTCAAATATTTAATTACAATCCAAATTCAGTGCTGAATCAAGCTTGAATGTTGTGTTCATACTTGCCCCAACTGTTCAGGGTTCGACCTCTGCGGTCGTATCAAGCTGCGCCCCAGCGGAGCATTTTATTTCATTCATAAATTACTTTATGCTTGGAAATATAATTTTGCTTGGAGTTGAAAGAGTTGACATGTTGCAATGTACATTTACTCTACATAGTTCTATGGTACCAAATCAAAAGTTTATATAAAGAAAGAAGTCAAAGGTTTCCCATCATAGTTTAGTTACATACATTTTTTTTGTACCTGAGGTCGTTGAATATAGATCATTATATAAATAAGGAAATGTGTTATGATTGCCAATGAAAAAACTAAGGATTTTCTTATCCAAGGAATAGATTTCCTTAGCCGTATTTGGCACAACTTTTTGGAATTTTGGGTCCTCAATGCTCTTCAACTTTGTACTTGTTTGGCTTTGTTACTATTTTGATCTGAACGTCACTGATGAGTCTTATGTAGACGAAACACACGTCTGGTGTATTAAATTATAATCCTGGTACCTTTGATGACTAATTTGACTATAAACATAGATAAAAAAGGTACAAACTGGACATAATGCACTAGTTCATAAACAAGTGAGAACAATCGCCTTCATATAGTGCTCAGAATATGACATTCATAAAACTTATTCAATATCATTAGAGAACTCTAAATCTTAAATACTGAAAGCCACCTCTGATAAGTACACTGTACTATGCAAGATAATGATATAACTGGATTTAAAATACACACAACCTGTAATTAACTGCCTTTACAGCGCTTTCGTGCTTTGATTAGCTTTTCTCATCACTTGGTGTCCTTAGTCCATCATCAGCTTCGTCATTAACTTTTACAAAATTATTCTCCTCTGAAACTATTGTGCTGATTTGCAACCAAATTTGGCCACAATCATCATTAGGGTATCTAGTTTTAAATAGTGTCCGATGACTCAGCCTGCTGACCAACATGGCTGACATGGCTAAAAATAGACCATAGGGGTAAAACGCAATGTTTGGCTATTTTATTGAAAACTGTTAAAGAAAGAGAAAATCTGATAGGGGCAAACATGTTCAGAATGATGAGATCTACCTAATGTTTGTTAACATCAAAACTGTCAGACATAATTGCCACAATATTTATAAGTCTAAGGGTATCCTCATGCATGTTTTTTTACAGAGCCATTGTATTTGCCTCCAATTAAATGCCTTTTAAATATCCCATTTTGTTCTTGCAACAATTTCAATGTGCACAATAAGGGTGTATCATGTGATCTTAGGGCACCTGCTTATTTTTTTTAAACTTATCTTCCAGAGTTTTATCATCAATTACAACAATGGTGTGAGGATTATAGAGAATCTGGAATTGTCAGACTTTGGTTATTTGAAGGAATTCCATGGATAGGAATTTATAATGCAGAATACTGTGAGGTACATTTGTAATAAGATTCCCAAATAATAGTGTGTATTTCTTTCAGAATTTTATCAACAGTTGCAGACATTTTGTGAAGACTACAGACAAAAAGGAATATTCAGACTTTGGTTGTATGAGGGCTCACCTTTGGTCTTATTTTACAAGCCTGAACTTTGTGAGGTACTGTAAACACAGTGTCATGTACAATGTATGTTCTGTATTGCACCTATAACATATATGTACTTAGATTGATCTTGTGTTTCTATGAAACCCCTCTTGAAACAAAACAAAAAAAGAAATACTCAAAATGTCGGCAACACAAAATTTTCATCAGTTCTCATTACTCCTGTAAAAGGAATTTGGTTGTGTAGTGATTGTTTATGCATTTGAAACTTCTCTTGGAATATTGCATGGATGCAAGTGAAACTTTCAGAGTCTTAACACCTAATGACACTATGTCCCATCTATGTTTTAAAGCCAAGTTAGTTAAGGAGTTTGCTATAGCAAGCACAGACTTTGCTACAATATACATCTATGTATCTTGTTCTAAAACATTGGCGATTCAGTTCAAGATACCTAGTAGCCATTGCTGCAATATTGACATTATTTAAATTCCCAGTTATAAAAATTATTTTATTGTGCCTTAACTAATAAACGTTGCAATTCCCTCAGTCAAAGTTTATCCTAGACAGATTTGGCTGATCTTTTTAAACCCTTTTGTGTTTTATTGGATGAACAAAATTTATGTCAAAAATACACCTGATGAAGGTTATTACAGAAATATGTGTTGTTGCATACAAATAATAAAATTAGAATAGAGAGAGAAAATACATAGGGGGGCAATAAAAAAATCTGATTAAAACAGACATCACAATGACCAAAAAAGAAAAACTACGACATGACAACAACAAAAATCTATGCAGAAATTTAAAGATTAGGCAAAATGAAAAAAACATGGGTGAACTCAGGTGCTTTAGAAGGGTAAGTATTTCCTGCTTCACTTGTGGCACCTGTATATTTATCATATGTCATCACTGGTTTACCTGTGCTAACATGGACTACAATGTTAGATTGTGAAAGAAAAAAATGATAAAAGGCTCTATCTTATCTGTAGAATAGTATAACTTAAATTTTAGATATTATTGAACAGTAGTAAACATATAGACAAGGCACAAGAATACAGATTTCTTCATCCTTGGTTAGGAACAGGCTTATTAACCAGGTAAGTTATATAGACAAGGCACATGAATACAGATTCCTTCATCCTTGGTTAGGAACAGGCTTATTAACAAGGTAAGTTATATAGACAAGGCACAGGAATACAGATTCCTTCATCCTTGGTTAGGAACAGGCTTATTAACCAGGTAAGCTATATAGACAGGCACAAGAATACAGATTCCTTCATCCTTGGTTAGGAACAGGCTTATTAACAAGGTAAGTTATATAGACAAGGCACAGGAATACAGATTCCTTCATCCTTGGTTAGGAACAGGCTTATTAACCAGGTAAGCTATATAGACAGGCACAAGAATACAGATTCCTTCATCCTTGGTTAGGAACAGGCTTATTAACAAGGTAAGTTATATAGACAAGGCACAGGAATACAGATTCCTTCATCCTTGGTTAGGAACAGGCTTATTAACCAGGTAAGTTATATAGACAGGCACATGAATACAGATTCCTTCATCCTTGGTTAGGAACAGGCTTATTAACCAGGTAAGCTATATAGACAGGCACAAGAATACAGATTCCTTCATTCTTGGTTAGGAACAGGCTTATTAACCAGGTAAGTTATATAGACAGGCACAAGAATACAGATTCCTTCATCCTTGGTTAGGAACAGGCTTATTAAAAAGGTAAGTTATATAGACAAGGCACAGGAATACAGATTCCTTCATCCTTGGTTAGAAACAGGCTTATTAACAAGGTAAGGGAAATGAAATGGGTAATATATACCTTTAAAGGTGATTAGGAACATGTTTGTGAACAAAGTAAGTTATAGGATATAGGAAATTAGGATGTGGTCTGTTGACATTCTTTTACCCTTTGTGAAAATGCAGATTTGTTAACAAGTTAAGTTATATGAATTAATTCCTTTTCTTTTTTTGGTAAGGAATGTTTGATAAAAATCGAAATGTTCCGTATGTTGAGATCTTTTGTCCATTACACCAAAACTGTCGGATGTCTCTGTACAGGAGTTATTGCCGATTTTTAACAATTTTTTTTTATTTTGTGCCTATTATCTTGAAAACTATAATAGTTAGTAACTTCAAATTGCAAAAATGAGAATTACAAATAAATACACAGGACTGAAATAGTGGGTTGACTCCTTATAGGAGTAAGTGCCCCTTAATGATGATTTTTTTTTGTTTACAAAATTTTAGTTATAATCGTTAAGGAAAAACTTCAATAACTTAAATGATCAACAGGGCAAGATCCACAAATTTGTCAAATGGCAATCTCAGGTCACCTCCTTGCGGGAGTTATTTACTCTGAATGATGATTTTTGCCAATTTTGGCATTTTTGGCGGAATATATAATAAAGAAAAACTGTAAACAGAAAAAATGATCTACAGGACCAGATCAACAATTTTTTTAAAATTGCCGAAATTTACAATCAACTCTTTCTGATGATTTTTACCCAATTTTTGCTTATAATGCAAAAGTTACAAAAGATATAAAAAATTGTAAACATCAAAAATTATAAGCAAGACAATATCTACAAATTGGTCAATACTATTTAAATGTCAGTTGACTCCTTTGTCCTTAAATGACGATTGTTTTACCCTTTTTATGTGTTGGACAAAAACTATAGAAGATAAAAGAGAAACTGTGAACAGCGAAAATTATCAGTAATACAAGATCAACGTAAAAGAGACATTAGTCATGAATAGTATTTTCAAGTATTTAATGTTGGCCAAATAGATCCAGGTAAGCAACACAGGCTCTTTGAAGCCTCTATTTTTAGATCACCTGGCCCGAAGGGCCAAGTGAGCTTTTCTCATCACTTGGTGTCTGTCGTCCGTCGTCGTCGTTAGCTTTTTACAAAAATCTTCTCCTCCGAATCCACTTGGCCAAATTTAACCAAACTTGGCCACAATCATCATTAGGGTATCTAGTTTAAAAAATGTGTGCGATGACCCCGCCAATTTACCAAGATGGCCACCATGGCTAAAAATAGAACATAGGGGTAAAATGTAGATTTTGGCTTATATCTCTGAAACCAAAGCATTTAGAGTAAATCTGACATAAGTAAAACTGATTATCAGGTCAAGATCTATCTGCCCTGAAATTTTCAGACAAATCTGACAACCTGTTGTTGGGTTGCTGCCCCTGAATTGGTGATTTTTAAGGAAATTTTGCAGTTTTTGGTTATTAACAATATTATAGATAGAGATAAACTGTAAACAGCAATAATGTTCAGCAAAGTAAGATCTACAAATAAGTTGTCATGACCAAAATTGTCAGTCGACCTCTTTAGGAGTTATTGCCCTTAATAGTCAATTTTAAACAATTTTTTGTAAATTTTTGTAATCTTTTACAAAAATCTTCTTCTCTGAAACTACTGAGACAAATTTAACCATACTTGGCCATAATCATTATTAGGGTATCTAGTTTAAAAAGTTTGTCCGATGACCCCGCCTTCCAACCATCATGCCCGACTTGGTTAAAAATAGAACATAGGGGTAAAATGCAGTTTTTGGTTTATATCTTTGAAACTAAAGCATTTAGAGCAAATCTGACAGGTGGCAAAAATGTTCATCAGATTTAGATTTATCTGCCCTGAAATTTTCAGACGAATCCGACAGCCCGTTGTTGGGTTGCTGCCCCTGAGTTAGTAATTTTACAAAAATTTTGCAGTTTTTTGTTATTATCTTAGATATTATTATAATATCTAATATCTAATACTATTAATTATGATTTTAACCTTGTTTTACATGATTTCCAAAGCATCAGTAATACAGGTGAGCAACACAGGCTCTTGAGAGCCTCTAGTTTTTTTCAAAAGGCTGGGCATCTTATGTTTTGCAGACAAATAATGACTAGTTTAACATAAACAAGTAGTTGATTTTTCCTCCTGTCTTTTAATGCTTTTTTAGCTCATCTGGCCCAAATGGCCCAGTGAGTTTTTCTCATCACTTGGCGTCTGCTGTCTGTCGTTAACATTAACAAAAATCATCTCCTCTCAAACTGCCTGGCCAAATTTAACCAAACTTTGCAACAATATTAATTGGGGCATCTAGTTTAATAAATGTGTCTGATGACCCTGCCTGCACACCAACAGGGCCAACATGGCTAAAAATAGAACACAGGGATGAAATGCAGGAGGTATTGCTCTTTAATGACGATTTTTACCAATCGTTTGCATTTTTTCCAAATATCTTAAAAACTATCATAGATAAATTGAAACTTTACAAGTCAAAATGATCAACAAGACAAGATCTACAATTAAGTCAACATGGCCGAATTTGTCAGTCGACTTTATTTATAGATGTTATTGCCCTTTAATGAAGATTTTTCTCAATTTTTGTCTCGCCTTGAGGGAGTCAAAAAGCGAGACATAGGTATGCTGTTTCCGGCATCGGCGGCGGCGTCAACAATATATTAGTTTGTGATAAGGTCTAGTTTATGGTGAACCACAAGTGGTAGGTCAATGATATTTTGTATACAGTTGTATAAGCATTAGCACATCTTATTTCCATTGAGATTGTTTGGCTTCGCCCCCTTAGTCATGGTCTATTGACTTTGAAAATTTCGCTTAGTTTATATTTATTAGTTTGTGATTAGATCAGTTTAAGATGAACTGCTAATGTTAAGTCAATGATATTTGGTATGCAAATTTATTGGCATTTGCAAGTCTTATTTCCATGGAGATTATAAAGCCCCACACCTCATCATGGTTCATTGACTCTGAAACTTTTACATAGTTTACAAGTTAATGTTTGTGTTTAGGTTTGTTTAAAGGGAACGACTTATGATAAGTCAATGGTATTTGGTATGCAGTTGTATTAACACTGGCACATCTCATTTCCATGGAGATTGTTCAGCCATGTACCTTCAGTCATGGTTCATGGACTTTGAATATTTGCATAACTTACTTGTTAAAAGTATTGCTATTTTAATTTCAACATTTGCATTATCAAAATTACAAAAAGGCGAGACATATCTCTGTGATAACAGTTTATTTTCATTTTTGTCTATTATCTTGAAAATAAAAATAGATAGAAAGATCTTTAAATAGCAAAATTGGTCAGCAAGATAGAAATTTTAATAGAAAAAATGATCAGCAAGACAAGATCTACAAATAAGCCATCATGGCTGAAATCTCCCATCTACTTGTTATTGGAATTATTACCCTTTCATGATGATTTTTACTGAACAGTGGCCATTGTTGAAGATGCAGGTGAGCAACACAGGCTCTTTAGAGCCTCTAGTTTTAGTGTTGTGGACCAATATGAATTTGCTTTCTTACATATTTCAGTACTGGTACAAAATGGAAGACAAGAAGAAGAATGCTGACACCAACTTTCCACTTTAAGATTCTTAATGATTTTATGGGTGTATTTAATGATCAAATTGATGTAATGATGAATAAACTGGAAGGAAAATGGAAGAATGGAACTTTTAATATCTTCAATGATATAACTTTGTGCGCCCTAGATATTATATGTGGTAGGTTTAATCACTCCGTTGTTTTTGCATTAAATAGCCTTTTTATTATCCTGAGAAAACACTTATTGAATAAAATAATGTAACTGTTCTATTAACATGATGTCCATCATTATAAAATCACTGCTCTTTTCGGTTGGTAATGAATCTTTTTTACTTTTAGTCTGTTTAAAGATTTAGATACTGTTTACTGTGCCCCAACAACAAAGTGGCCAAGGTTTATAGTTATAACTGGCCATGTCCCTCATTCCTTCATTTTTGTCTGGGTTTTTTTTCGCTCCTTGGACTAGCCGACTTAAAAAATTTCATGAAAATTGAAATCTTCTAGATTTTATTATTGTTAAACTTGTAGATTTTCAGCTGCTTTTTGTAAAATAGTGTGTAATGGGTATCTATAGATAGAGTTTGTGTTTTGTTCCGTTTGACAATTTTTGGCAGAATTACAGCCGACTTTTTATGATAAAACTGAGGGCAGGGGCATTACTGTCAATGAATTTAAAAGCTTTGACTACTTTTTATCAAGATCAAAGAGCTAAAAGTTTTAAATCAAAATAGTACAGAAAAAAATTATGGCAATTTTCTCCTCTGAAATGAAGAAATGGACAATCTTTTTGATAATTTAGACAAAATATCTTTTGAGACCCAATTCTAAGAAATATTTAAAATTTTATCAAATTGACATAAAGCTTGATGGGATAACTCATTTTCACCATCTCATTGCAAATCAATTTTGAACAATACTATACTGTAAAAGTATACAAAAGGTTCTTTGTAAGATGTTTTCATTTTATCATGGCTTAGATACCATACATGGCCCATACATACTTTAACACAATAAGTATATATATTTATGTATTAGAATGATGTCATACTCATTCTTTATGATTGCCATTTCTCATCCAAATGAAATTTGGCAGACTTTTTGAAGTCGTGCTCATTATTAACTTAATTTTTATAATGAGGATAATATAACATTCGAGTTGATTCCTACAAACAGAAACCAGAAATGCTTTAGTGCACATTATGTATTTTTTTGTCTTATAGTATCCTTAAATGTTACATTCTTTTGTTTCATTCTATTGTTATAGAGACAGCCATGGGAAGAACAATTAATGCACAGAATGATGATGATTCAGAATATGTCAAAGCTGTTTACAAGTAAGTTCCAAATAAGGTTCAATTCATCTCTTTCTCCCTTTGTATATTGACGAATAAATAAATGTGTCCTTATATGTCAAGGTATAAGGGACTATGTGAGGAAGGTCAGTCGCAGAATGCAAGACATCAGGATGCTTATCAGGAGGCGTCTTAAACTATTTGTATTAAGCTTTACATTGCAAAAGGAAGACCTGAATGCTATAGGTGAACTATATTTGGTGTATCGTAAAATTGTAAGGTGTACATGTCTGTCTCGCAGGTATGATCTGACCTTGACATCATTTTCATGGATCATAGGTCAATGTTAAGTTTCATGGTTTGGTCCGTTTTTCAGGTACTATCAGCAATTAGTCAACTGTATTAAGTAAAAAAAATAAGAATATGAGGTGTGATTGCCAATGAGACATCTATCCACTCTCCAAATGACATAGACGAAAGCAACTATAGATTATAGTATGGCCTTCAATGAGCAAAACCAATACTGTATAGTTAGCTATAAAAGGCCAAAATGTAAAAACAATTCAAACTAGAAAACCAACATCCTGATTTATGTAAGAAACAATAGATTAAAAATGAATTTGAAAAAAAGCAACCAAATACAACCCTTTAATAACACTCTTCTGAATTGGGATAGGCACATGCAGAATGTGGGTAGGTGAAACTTGTTTGCAAGTGCTCAATACTCTATCCAACTGTGGACAGTGATGTAACAGTACAAAATAAGAACAAACTGTAAAAATCAGTTGAAAAAGCTTGACTCAAAAGATCCACACAAAGTATCAATCTACCGGTAAGTTAGTGTATGGAAGGATTGTAAGCTGTACATATTTGTCTAACACGGTTCATCTGACCTTGACCTCTCTTTCATAGTTCATTGGTCAATGTTAAAGTTTTTATGGTTAAGTCTGTTTCTCAAATAAAATAAACAATTTAACTATTTTTATACAACTGCAAAAATTTGTGGTCCTGTAATGGTATGGCGATGTCCTGTCATCCGAAGACATTTGGTGTCCATACAATAACTTTACTATTATAAGTGTATGGATCTCTATGAAATTGTATCACAAGGTTCTATACCATAAAAGGAAAGTTTGGATTGACAGGGGCGTAGTTGGCCTAAAATAAAGTGCAAGCATAAGTCTTGTATCGCCGAGCGGAGCGAGGCGAAAAATATTTTGGGACCTTTTTATGCAGAAAATGATAATTTTTCGGTCATTTTCCAGGTATGCCATGCTTATGAAATTCACATTACTCCTTATTAACATGGTTGTTTTCAAATATAAAATAAATTTTATAAAACGGGAAGATCAGTCGACAAGTCAACCGAAGCGTTTATCAATAGAAGGGCAATCAATGGACACATGACCAACCCGGGAACAGATAAGACACAAAAGAACAAACAAAAACATTCAATATTGAAAACTAAATACAGATAAAAAAAACACGAACCCCGAAAAAAAATGTGGCGACCTCCAGTGCTCCGGAAGGGTAAGCAGGTCCTGCTTCTTGCAAGACACCCGACCGTAGCGTTTCTCACTAAGGTCATTTTCGAATCAAAGGAGCCTGAGGTTTCTACGACAACGGTAGAAGGTCACTTGGGACACAGATACCCAAGGTGAATTAATAGTCTTTTGGACGAACGGACAATGGGAATACGAAATCAAACGGCGACATTTAAGTCTTGACTTATAAGTGAGGGATATAAATCTTAGATGTTTTCAAGGTTATTGTATTGAGCCTGTATTATTAAATGTTAATACTCATGTAAGACTTAAAGTAAAGTTAATATCCAAAGTCCATATATCTATTTTTTGCCAAGGCAAAAGATCGCAGAACTCTCTCGGTGTCGATATTCATTTCTCTGTGAACATGTATGAGCGCCAACGAAGATAGTCTGTCCTATACCATGGTTGAACGGGGATAAGTTTTAAGTCGCCGTAATGCACTAAATGACCGTTCAGTAGTTGATGTAGTTACTGGCATTGTAACTAAGATTGACACGATTGCAAACTATTGAAGGATATAGTTTCTTTTTAGTCACTGCTAGAGACGACATCAGAGATTTGGGCTACTCTATAACATCTGGACCCGACCAGCGTCTCTGCCATCTCTTTACCTCAGAGTTGAAGGTTTCTTGATTGTCCGTCAAGTCGTGTCTAAATGTTTCGTATATTTTGTCTATACACTCTGCTGTCAAAGATTCCAAACGTGCAGGTATTTAATTGAAATTAAGGTTCTGGCCTTGAAAACGATCAGAATTATCCAGTAAACGTCCTGTGAGTTCTTCAATGAAATAGTCAAGAAAGGAGAAATACAAGGCTCGCTTCCAATATTGACTTGGAGTGTCAGCTGGATAGTTAGCCCGGTTGACCTGTCTTCCTACTCATTCGTAATTTAATTTCAGAATTATTTTTTTTTGTGAAAAATATGTGCAAGCAAATGATTTTTTGCGTAAAGGCAGCTACGCGCCTGATTGATTTTGCGGGTTATGGCTGTAACCATTTAAGAATTTTGGGTCAAAAAGGGGCCAAGACAATAACGAGTATAAGTGTATGGATTTGTATGAAATTGTACCACAAGATTCCATACTACAAAAGGAAGGTTGCATTGAATTTGGAGGTTATGGCCTAATCTGCTTAGGAATTAGGGGCCAAAAAGGGATAAAAGACAATCAATTTTTAACCGGATTTTTTAAGGAAAAATCGGTTTAATGATTTGGGGATGTACTGCGGGGTTCTTTGGTATGCTTAATCTTATAGTGTATTTAGAATTTTTATGTATCAAGCTTGAAAATAGTGTCCATACTTGCCTCAACTGTTCAGGGTTCAACCTCTGCGGTCTTATCAAGCTGCACCCAGTGGAGAATTTTATTTATGTACAGAATGATTGTATATAAATCAGAGATTAATCTATATTTTTTTATTGCAGAATAACAGAGATTATTTTAACAAGACAGAGATCTCCATGGTTTTGGCCTGATTTTATGTTTAATACAATAGGAGCAGGCAAGGAACATGACAGATTACTTAAAATTTTACATGGTTTCACAGAAAAGGTCAGATTTATTTACTGTAAAAGAGATGAAGAGATATAACCTAAAGTCTGTTAATTTTCTTCATCTGATTGGACTGTTTGTTTCATAAACATGCAATAAAACGAACAGACTTACAGGACAAACAAAATTACCAGGCAGCATGTATTGTTGTATAGTATTTGACAATTCTCAACCTTCTTTATTTGTTCCTTAGTGTCACTAAATATATGTACTCTTAAATTTTCTAATGGATTATACATTGTATATCTTTTCATCTTGTAATTTTTTTGTTTTTTGTTTTCTATATTGAAGTTTCCAAGAGAAAAACGAGTGCATTTGATAATATCTTAAGATTGATATCTAAAGTAAGATTTAGCCACACTTGTAAAAACTAGCTTAATTCTAAAACTATTCATACTTTAATGATGACCTTATAAAAAATTTTGAACAGGTTATAAAAGAAAAAAGTGCAGAATTTTCAAAGAAACAAGCAAATGGGTTGACAATGGAGGATATTCTCAATAACCATGACGATGATGAAACATCATACATTAGTCGTGAGAAACGTTTAGCATTTCTGGACATGCTGCTATGTTCTACAGTACAGGGTGAAAGTTTGTCATTTATGGATATCAGAGAAGAAGTTGATACATTCATGTTTGAGGTAAAAAAAAAAAAGTTGTGCGCTTAGACCTTGAAATTAATTTTAAAATTTTAAAAATTGAAACAGGTCAATAATTTATTGTAAATTATCTATCAGTTGATTCTTGTGGAATAATTGTTAGTTTTTTTTATAACTTGTGCCATTTGCATGCAAACAACAATAAAATTTATATTGCTTTTACCATCTGAATCCTTATCATTTCTCAAAGTTTAATTCACTGGTCAAAGGTAAATAATCAAAAATTGAAAAGAATGTACAATTGGAATTATTTAAAAAAATTAAAGATAAGTCTTTGAAGGATTTGTCTACAATTATTTTGTGTACTGGACTAATATGCATTTTGATTGGTGTATTTCAGGGTCATGACACAACAGCAGCAGCAATGAGTTTTACAATGCATTTGATTGGTGCACATCCTGAAGTACAAGCAAAGGTTCACAAAGAATTAGATGAGGTTTTTGGTATATAAAATTTAACAGTTTATCTAAACAAATTTCTTTTAATTATACAAGTATTTCTGAACCAAATTTTAAAGTTTCAGCATAGTGCTATGAAACAACAAACTCATGCTTAGTCCATTATGTTCTATTTTGGTCACAGTGGCCATGTTAATGGGTTTGTGGGGCCAAAAAAAATATACTAATACTTTATACTAGATATCCTAAGGATCATACAAGTTGGGTGAATGTTGGTTCAGAGGAGATACTTATATGTAAAGAAAATTGGCTTATAACACATTTGTCATCGTTTGTTGTGATGACTTTCGGTTTTACAATTGTGCATTTTCCCGTAAAATGCTTATATTCTTACGTCATCGTTCAATGACGTCGGGTAGCTCATTCATAAAAAAGCATATGACGTGGGAGTATGATTGGAACAGCCCAAACAATATATTCATATTTTACCACGGGTGTGTACTCAAAGCGTTTGAATAACGTCATATTAGAATTTCATATATTTTATGATTTAGTGAGAATATATGTTTGTTATTGGACTTAATTAAAATATGTTCCAGAGTCACATCACAGTGATATTTAAAAAAAATGTTTTATAGGTGACAGCAACAGGAGAGCAACCATGAAAGACTTGAAATCATTGAAGTACTTAGAATGTGTTATAAAGGTAACTATAGTAACTTTACCAAAGTAGTCAAGGTTACTGTGAGGGGTCCACATTTGATCAATGTTTTCTTGTCAATGTCTCACTAGAGGCCACAGCTAATGTAAGGCCACATTTCCTGTGGAATTGTTCTTATTGAGGGTAATTCCTATATATAAGATTTAATTTTCATGGACTATTTTTTCGGATGTTAACCTCCATAAAAGATAAACACACACAATTCTATGCAAGAACATAGTCTTTTACACTATATTTGAACATTAGGCACATAAGATGTCCCCTGTCCAAATGGTTTCATCGACCAATATTGATATTCTTATCCACAAGTTGTTGCTGAACACCCAAACATGGAATGAAGGTCTTGAAGTTAATCTTCCTCTTGTAACTTCAAGGGGTGACTGTTTGCATGGTTACACCTATTATGTGATATGATCTCAAATACAGCTAATCGTGTCCTTCTTTCTGTTATAAGAGTTAAAGACAAAATTAAAAAACTATTAAATTTTATAGCCAATAACCCACATAATCTTTAAATTTGTATTAAAATATACTGTGGCAAATATTAAAAGAACTTACCTGGATAATTTTCTCATTTGAATTCTAAAATAGAATTACTACATATGGCAGATATTGGTAGTCTTTATAAAATAATTCTCAACTTGTATACATCTCAATTTATAGTCTGACATAAGTTAAAGACATTTATCTCTTGATGAAAGCTGTATAATATTTTGATGATTTTATAGTTCATGAAATTTTCTTTTTAAAAATGCATATTTTATCAAATGTTTTTGCACATTTCACTAGAATGGTTATGAATTCTGTATATGCAAATGTTTTAAAAAGATTAAATTATCTCCCATTATTTACAAAAATATAATACATGTAAATGTGTATTGTTATTGTAGGAAGGACTGAGATTATTCCCCTCAGTTCCATTTTTTGGAAGAACAACAACAGAAGATCTAGTCATAAGTATGATTATATAAACAGTATTAAATGTTTAATGTTGAGCACATTGTTCTTTCAGTCACTTTTGTTAAGGTCAAGTTACAGTAAATGGGCTATGTCACAGATTTTGGTAAAATTTTGCATACAACACTGGCTCGTTGAAATATGACTGAAAATTGAAAAAATAATGCATTTATCTCTTTTATCATCTGAAATATTACTGATTGAAAAAAACAAAAATTTTAATATCCTTTTATTCATAGTTTTGCTTACTTTTCACCCATTTTGCAAGATATGTAATTGCAGCACATGAAATTTATTCCTTTACATAATTGTATTGGAAAAGAGGGGAGTTAATTTAATAAAATTCTACATAACACATATGATTTTATAAACTGCTAGATAGGCTTAATTTGGTTGAAATGACTGAAATTCTGTGACTGAATAGTTTTTTTTATTATTAATTTCTTTATCTTTTTAGACCTTTTTACCATGTGGTTTTCCATAAGACAATTTAGATAAAATTTGTCAGAATATTCCTGCAATCTTGGAAGCCACATCAGGTGTTTACTCTCCCTGTTTAATATGTTCCTACAAGTGTGGTGACCACTAATAGGACCAACTACAAAATCTGTGTGAGAACCCCTTTCCAAATTAGCTATATATATGACAAATACATGTAAGGTATATAATTAATAATTCATGCACAAGGAATCGATTCGACAACGCAACACAAAATCTCTGATTTGATGAACTTTCACCCCCACCCTTGCTTTTCATTCTGTGGTGAACCCTGAATCTGCAAATGATTATTTACATAAGTTAAAAAAAAAAGATTTCATCTTGCTGCTAATTAGGTCTGAGGACACAGTTATCGTCCTTTGATTTTCGTTGTCTACAAATATAGTCCCTAGTGTGGACAGTGTATAACTTGCAAATTTTTTTCATACACTTTCCAAATTTATTTATTTACATTTTATGCATGAAATATTAAGTAGGGGGATGAACTTACATGTTTAAAAAATTTGGGTGATGAATTTTTATGTAAAGTAGTGATTTGGTTCAGTTAAAAAAGGTCAAAAATTAGTATGTCTGAAGCTGTCAAATGAATTATAGACCCCCTTAACATAGAATTGTCCATATTTTGAGTTAGAGCTGGTAGACTTTTCTATAATTTTGATATTATTTGTCCCCAAAGTAGTACACTACACTGTAAAAATCTTTTTCAGATAGAGCAGGTGCGAATTTTTTAATTTGAGTTTATTGTCTAAAAGAAATGCACTACGAAATAACTGTGTTCTCGGCCCTAAGAGATGAATTCAGTAGATTTAGATTCTGTACTTTGTCAACTTTGCTGAATGATTTGCTTGTTTCAATTTGTCAAACTGAATAAAAGTAAAGGATTTGTATCTTTATTTGATAGAAATTCTGTAAAAATGTCCCATTTTGCCATTATATGGCTAAAATAAGCATTTTAAAGCAGTTTCTATTTTTATGCCTAAGAGGCATGCTGACTTTCTATCTGACAGGTTTTTATGTTTGGATATTTGTGTTTCTATGCTTAATTCAAGTTTCATTAATCATTTGTGAACTCTGAATCTAGAGAAAAGTGGATTATCACAGAAAAAATGTGCAAAATGTGTTGTATTTATGGTCCTGGTCGAATGGCCAGTTTGAGTGTACGTAAAATGTGAAGAGCTTTGTACATAAAAGTTGAAGTCCATCATAGTATTTCACTAAATCTGTAATAAAAGCACTTAACAATGATAAGTGCAACTTATTCATTTCATATACTACCTTTATTTTCTTCATTAGGATAGTAAGTGGTTCAAATATATGCCTGTTGAGACTAAAACTAAATGCAAGTTTTCCATTGAAAAGTACAAAAACTGTGCATCAGACCATACTGTCTGCAAAACAAGTTGGATGCAAGAGTCCTTTTGCATTCAGCTTTCTTGTATCATGACATCTTAACATAGAAATGAGCAAAAAGTAACAAATTTCTATTTCCTATAGCTTCTGTATGGTTTTTTATATGTAAATATGTGCTACGGCCTAAATTGACCCAAAATAATTTTCAGTCTTACATGGCCTAAGACCATTTTATACTCATGTGGTAAGCTATTTGTAACTTTTCTTTCCATTTAAAGTTCATTAAATATATATGAATGAATAATTTATGTAAAAAAACTTCAGAAATTTTAAATTGGTTGAATAAAATGTATGTTTATGTTAGGCCCTTAATTAGAAAATCTCCATTTTCAGGCACAGGCTCGTATAAATTTGACTTTTGAATCATTGTAATAAATCTGATAAATCAAATGAGTGTTTTGTTGCTTTTAATACATAATACATTATATAAAAGGGCATTTAAAACGCAAATTTTTGAAATATTTAAATTTTTGAGGCCAAAATCTTGATAGTTGAAATTGTTCGATTTAAACGTCAAAAATAATCATCCAAAGTTCAATATTAAAAAGGCCATTGTTTCTATAATATATATCCTATGACCATGAAACTTGGCCAACTATCTTATAATTCACTCAGCTTATGTCATGCAAAGTTTTATTAGAATTAGTCAAGTCTTTCTATCCTATTGGGTCCGAGGACACAGTTATCGTCCTTTGATTTTCGTTGTCTACAAATATAGTCCCTAGTGTGGACAGTGTATAACTTGCAAATTTTTTTCATACACTTTCAAATTTATTTATTTATATTTTATGCATGAAATATTAAGAAGAGGGGGATGAACTTACATGTTAAAAAAATTTGGGTGATGAATCTTTATGTAAAGTAGTGATTTGGTCCAGTTAAAAAAGGTCAAAAATTAGTATGTCTGAAGCTGTCAAATGAATTATAGACCCCCTTAACATAGAATTGTCCATATTTTGAGTTAGAGCTGGTAGACTTTTCTATAATTTTGATATTATTTGTCCCCAAAGTAGTACACTACACTGTAAAAATCTTTTTCAGATAGAGCAGGTGCGATTTTATTAATTTGAATTTATTGTCTAAAAGAAATGCACTACGAAATAACTGTGTTCTCGGGCCAAAGATTTAGAGTAAAATAATGAAGTTGTCCAACTATATTCATTGATCAAGGTTAAGTTTTGATACATGTAGTATGACCTATATCTCCAAGGATGCAACATATATTTCATTTATATTGAATTAAGCAGTCAATAAAATTCTTCAGTGTGTTCATTTTTTACCTGAATAAATACATTTTTTTAAGAAGCTTCTGATAAACATGGGATTAAAGGGATTGGCACCCTTTTTTTTAGCTCACTAGATCCAATGGGTCAAGTGATATATTCTCATCAATTGGCATCAATCCATCTTCACAAAAAATTTCTCCTCTGAAACTACATGGCCAGTTGGTCCCATTCATCATTGAGATATCCAGTTTTCAAAATAATTCGATGACCTAGCCTATAAACCAACATGGGTTAAAATAGAACATAGGAGTGAATGCTAGTTTTGTCTGTTATCTGGAAAATTGTCAGACTATTTCTTATAGTAGTTATTACCCATTTTGTGGCATATTTGGCAACACTATAGTAGATATAGAAAAATTGTATTATTCATTACGTAGGTTGACATATGCAGGTTGTCATGTAGGCAAAACTTTTATTTTACTTATTACTTTTATATAGATAACGTCACTATTCCCCAAGGAACAACATGTATATTAGTAACATTTGCTTTGCATATGGATCCTAAGTATTTCCCAAATCCTGAAAAGTTTGATCCAGATCGATTTTTACAAGAGAATATCAAAAATCGTCATCCATACTGCTATGTACCTTTTTCTGCTGGACCAAGAAACTGCATTGGTAAGTTGGCTGTTTTATGAAATGTTTTTCTTTAAAAACAATATATTCTGTAAAAGAGACTCCTGAATACTTTGTAAAGGAGTAGTAAGTTAGTAACTGCCAAAAAGATTATTTGATCAGTCTGTCAATACATGTAATTGATTTATTCCTTTTATTAGTCAGGGCTTGAAAACATACCAAAGTTGCCAGCTCTTCATGCATATAATTATGGAGGGATGACATGATATAACTTGGAGTAGGGCATTATGGTCTGTTTTCAAATCCAAGAGTTGTGCCTTTTTGTATTTAAAAATTTTGTATACAGTTCTGTCTGCAGATTGATGATACAACTCCTCCTTTATGCTAAGATGTTCATTAAACTTTGGACATTGTAAGATTCTAATATAATTTGTAGGATATCATGGTCTTTTGACAAGCTCCAGTGTTATGCTCCTTTACACATGAAAATGTTTGATACTATTGAATGATGAATAGATTAGAAAAGAAATCTACATTAACTTGCCTATCATCACTGTAAAAATACATTAAATGAAATAAATATTTGGGGCTAATAAAAAGTGGAAGCAATGGGTATTCTATTTCTAGTTGACAATCACTTTAATTGTTAGAAATTCAAGAATTACATGCACATCTTGTGATAACTCAAATGCTTTGAGATATCTTTACAAATACCCATAACTACATTGCCGGGCAGGAAGCTGCCCTTTGACAAAAATCTTTTCAAATTCAGATACTAGTATAATGTTTCCTGTAACTAAATGAAGGTCAAGTTCAATTTTCACAATTTTAGCTATTATTGTTGTTGAGTTGTAGAACTTTAAGTAGAGAAAAGTGATACTTAGATTGATTTTGGCCTTTCCATTTCTGAACCCTACTAATTTTCATATAATTTTTTACTTGATCCTGTTTGGGTGGTCCAGATATGCAAATATCATTTTCATGCAGGAAAATCCAGTTTTCAATCAATCTGACAGCCTCTTGTTGTTGTGTTGAGTTGCTGACTTGCTAATGTTTACCAATAATTGTGTTTTATTTAACATCCCAGTGGTGAATTAGGGTATAGTAATATGGTGCCATACTCGGAATTCTTCATTCTGGCAGTAAAACTCATATCAAGAGAGACAACTTTTTTCTTGTACATGATTGATCAATATGCTGCCATGTCAGTTCAAAGTTGAGACGTTAAACCTGATGCCTTGTTTAGGAAGAGTGCCATAATCTCTGTATGTTAAATAACCTTTGCAACAACTCTTTTGTGTGGTTCTTTGATGACCTGTTGCAAGGCAAATTTTCTCACCTTATCCAACATACCCTCTTTCCAGTGGCAGTAACAAATTTCACCCTTCATTTAGGTCAATCCTTTTTGCAGAAAATACATCTTGGACTTATGTCTAATTTGTTCTTGTTTGGATTATACATTAAATGTTTGCCACTGGACATTATTATTTAATCATGGTTAATTTCTCTTTACAGGTCAAAAGTTTGCTATGTTAGAGGAGAAGGCAATGATTTCCTCCATTTTAAGGAAATATAATGTTAAAGCAACACAGACAAGAGAAGAAATGTGTGCTATAGGAGAAATTATTTTGAGAGCAGATGGTGGAGTCTATGTAGAACTGTCTCCAAGATGATAGATACTATAGTTTTACAAAAACTCTATAAAGTTCCAGCATTATTGCTAGTACATTCAGTATTAATTTTTGCACTATATCTTCACCCTTGATTCTACATGGATATGAAGCAATCAAAATAATTGTCTTTGAAAGTAATGTTGTGAAACAAAAGTATCCTTGAAAAGGATTGTTGTCCAATCAAAAACATTTAAAACAATCAAGTTTTGATAATTTTATATCTGATATTAGTGTTACTTTTCAATAAATGTTCTTTCATTTCCAGTTTTTTCAAGTTTTTTCCGACGCTGCTATATAGCCTTTTGGTGCTGATGCGGTGTAAAGCAAATCGCCAATCAATCAAAATTTAAGTTTTAAAGTTGACCTGTCATTAGTATGATTAATCATATATAAATTTGTCAATAAGAAAAATAATATTATGAATATTTATCTGATAGTTTCTGTTGATTAAATAACATGGCCAGTGTTGTTACAAAAATTATTATTTTATTTTGTTTAGCTGTGTAAGTATAATATATCCGAGAGACTGTATGAGAGTTGGAAGTAGACAGGTGTGTAAAAGTCCTTACATTTTGAAAACCAGTGTCAGTTACCTACCGGATACTACAGGTTTTCTACAAACTGTAAAAAAATATATCAAAAGGAGGTTATAACAGTTTCTTTGACCAAGTGATGTGATTATAATACCCCCACTTTAAAAAAGTGGGGTAATACTGTTTTACCTTTGTCTGTCCATCCATCTGTCCGTCTGTCAGTCCGTCCGTCCATCCCATGAATATTTTTCGTTGCATCTTTCTCAGGAACTACATAACAAGGATTTCTGAAATTTTGTTTCATGGTTTATTTAAGTCAGCTATACCGTGTGATGTGTTTTCAGATTCATCACTCAACAACTTCCTATTAACTGAACACTTACATCATTTTACACATGACATCCAAGTTGAAAATTTTCGTCACATTTTTCTCAGGAACTACATTACAAGGATTTCTGAAATTTGGTTTCAGGGTTTATTTAAGTCAGTTATACTGTGTGATGCGTTTTTAGATTTATCACTCAATTTCCTGTTTACCGTCAAGTATTTGGGCGGGGGTATCATCAGTGAGCATTTGCTAGCAGTTTCACTTGTTTATATTACGACAGTAAGAAATGTCAACGACCAAACCTGTTGCACCACTTTTGCTGGAAAGCCTAACTAAGCATGATTTGTATTTAACCAGTTAGGCTGTACATGTATATGTAATAACATGTTTTATCATATACTTAGAGTAAATAAGTTACAATTTTTACAGTATGATAATAGCATTAAATTTACGTGAATTAAATATTTTCCAAAATGGTGCTTAGCGGGCTGATATGAAAAATTTATCAACTGCTTCTGGCTATTATCGCATGACTTTCCGTAACATTATCGCATGGCATTCCGGCGTTAATCGGCAAATTCTGGAAAATACAACTCAATGATACGTTTTCAGTGAAAAACATAACAAAGTATGGTACAAAACAAATATTAGGAACCAGGAAAATATATTATGTAAAATGCAAAACAAATGATACAATAAATGCATTTTTCAAAGTTTCCAGCATAATTTAGAAAGTTACTTTACAAATGTTAACTTTTCCAAACAGTGTTCATTATGTTTTGTTGATTTTCTTTTTATCGTCAATATAAAAATATATTATACTGTTGTTTTTCTCCTCTTTTGAGGCATATGATAGAAAGATTTCATATTGGATGTATTACAGTTGGCGTCCGTCGTCCGTAAACTTTTCACTTTTTGAACTTCTACTTGAGAACCACTTAAAAGGATCAATATATCAAATATATCAAACTGTTAATATTCTCATTGTTGAAGCATATGAAAAAAAGATCATAACATGTCATTTTTCATATCAGATGTATTATCAGCCCTCGGTCAATATCAGCCATCGAACCTTCGGCTTTTGGGCTGATAATACATTGGATATGAAAAATGCCATGTAATAATCCGATATTAGTATATACTTAGTAGTAAATACATGTAAATTGTATGTGTAATACGATCAATGGCAATCGTGCTGTATCAGCCATCTGTGATAATATCGATATCAGTCACAGTTGCAAAGGCTTTATCAAACCCCTAACCTGTATGATGTCACGTCACATGAAAAATCACCTATTTGAGATATATAATAAAGTGTATATGATATGGCTTTTTCAATATCACACACCGTATCAACCCTCAGCCAATATAATCCCGCGAGCAGAGCTCTTGGGATTATATTGGTGTCTCGGGTTTATACGGATGTAATATTGAAAAAGCCATATCATATACACTTTATTATATATAATATTCTCTATAATTCATGACAAATACTAAATGCTGTGTTTCTCTTCTAAACACCATTTAACTGATTGTTATTGTGATAATTTAGAATTAATCTTTTACCAGGGGCGGGTCCAGGTAAGGGCGTAATGGGCGTACGCCCCCCCCCCCCCCCCCCCTTTTCAAAAAAAAAAAAAAAAAAAACTATAGTTATCTGCTTATATTGTATTGAATATGGCAATTTATCATATTCATTAATTAAACACATACTCTGATTTCTTTCATACTGATTCCCCCATCCGATGGGTGACTTGGACACCTTTTTTAAACAACCAAAGCGGTAAATAAATCTATACATGAAATGGTTGTTTTGTGCGACACTTACCCAATGGCCATTCTACATCTACCCGGGGGATACTCGCTATATATATGATACCGGGTATGTTCCGACAAGCGGGGTTGCATTTTCAGCTAAATTGTCTGAAATGGGGTTATGTTTTTTTCGCCTTGCATTGGAAGGGGTCAGATTTGACTATCTAGAACGGGGTATTATAAATACAATGTTACACTATTGTTTCAGATAAGGGTGAATGTTTGGTACCATTAAAACGTTTAAACCCGCTGCAACTGTTTGCACCTGTCCTAAGTCAGGAATCTGATGTTTAGTAGTTGTCGTTTGTTGATGTTGTTCATAAGTGTTTCTTATATAGATTAGACTGTTGGTTTTCCCGTTTGAATGGTTTAACACTAGTAATTTTTGGGGCCCTTTATAGCTTGCCGTTCAGTGTGAGCCAAGGCTCCGTGTTGAAGACCGTACTTTGACCTATAATGGTTAACTTTTATAAATTGTGACTTGGATGGAGAGTTGTCTCATTGGAACTCATACCACATCTTTTTATATCTACTAAATTGAAAACAACGTTCAAACCTATGATTGCGTTGGATAAAAACCGCAATTTTTATACGTGTGCATGCAAAACAAATTTCTTGGTAAAGGGGTCTAAGGGGACGACCATTTGATATTCTGGGGGGGGGGGGGGGGGGGGGGGCAGGAGGATTTGTTTTGGATCGGTTATTTATTTTTGTAAACTAAGAGGACAGATTATCTATTTTCTGCACTATTGAAGCAAGATTTTTCATTTTCATTAAAGCAAGGGACTGATTATTTATTTTCACAACTATATTTATAATATTCGAAAACATACAATTTTTAAATTATTTGTTTATTATAAATAATTCATGTATAGTCAAGTCATTATGTACCATTTAATCAGAATTAATTATTATCCTCTGCAGAAATGAATCTTTTATATCCCCCAATGCATATACATGTATTGCATACATACACAGTATTAAAGTTTGGTTGAAACTAAGGCTCTTCTAAAAGTATTGGCAAACATGTTTCGCCGAGCGGAGCAAGGGAAATTTTTTTTTGAAGGGTTTTTGAACCGCTGAAGGCCCAAGAAGCTATAGAACAAATGATGCAAAATCATGCCTTCTGGGTGTTCCCTAGACCCTTTCTTAAACTGAAAATGCAAGTTCTGTTTTAATAATTTTATGACAATATTTTGGTCTCAAAGCAAAATCACGTTATAGATTCAGTGTAAGACTTAAGTTTCTAGGAACAACATCAAAAGACAAATATGCATGATATTAAAAGCAAAAATGTAATTCACATAGTTAAGTCTGTGGCTGCTGTGTTTTTTTAAACTCATGATCAAGTTAATAATAAAATTACTAAATTACAAAATGAATGCAACACTAACAGAATACAGAAGGGCAATCAATGAACAAAAGACAAATAAATAAGAAACATTGATCCCGAAAAATCAGGGGCTACGTCTGAGGGAGAACAGAACTTGCTTCTTGCAAGGCACTCACGATGAACACAATTTGATATGGAGACAAGCGTTTGGTTTTGAAATTTCCTACATGAGGCATTTGTCTCAATGTAGTTACGGCCCTGATTTCATAAAAGTGAGGTAAGTGTTCCTGAGACAATTAACCTCAAGTTAAATGAAACCAATTTTCTGACATTTCAAGTATATTTAAATAATATTTATACTTTTATTATTAAAAGATATGGGAAGTGTTTCCCGATTTTTTTTTTTTGAAAAAAGATGAATTTATGAAGAATCTGGTGCCATCTCATACTTTCGATTAGACCTGCTGAGTTATTTATTTTCAATACATTGCAAGTCAGGTAATTTATTTTCAAACTACCACAGAACAAACCATTTATTTTTGTGATTATCAAGGCTGAGTTATTTATTTTCAAAATCCTCCTGCCCCCCCCCCCCCCCCCCCCCCCCCAGAATATCAAATGGTCGTCCCCTAAATACAGCACAAACAACATTTTCCAAAAGACCAAAACAGTGAAAAGGTATATTTTAACAAAACGGGTATATATATATATATCAAAGGTTCAGAAAAAGCTATCGTTAAAGATTTATTTTCCATTTTTCATGCCCATTTCATATAACCTTTTAACTGAATTTATAACTTCTTCCAAAGATTTGATATCCACATGTTAATCAATACATAATTTGAATGATCAGAAGGCAGACTATTTTCACCAATTTGTCTATCATGGAGTCTGTTATAATACTTCATAATTTGATGCTAAATTGTTGAAATCCAGGAGCTTCTGACCTTCCCCATGGACCCTATACCAGGGCAACCGGAATTACGACTCCCGTTCATAAAATCCTGGCCTAGGACTATTGAAATGTAAAGTAACGCCCTATACCCTAAAATTTGGAATTTCTCGTTATTGGTCTACTGCTGTTAAGATCCATCCAATCATTTTAATATACCATAGACAATTAATGGAGAGAATTTGGCATAAAAAATATCAAACCCTGACATTTTAACTATAAAATATACATGCTCCAAGTCAAAGAACCGTTATATTAGTGCATTTCACAATTATTTTATGTTTTTTTAGCCAAAAAAA